TCATATTCTTTTCGACAGCTCTAAACCACGTCAAGTTTTAACTTAATTTCCGTCTCTGACGGGAAATAAAGACCGATTCTGTTTAGGTTAATATTTATTGTTGTTGCCAATATAATCTGGAAGTAAATTTTCATCATTATCATCACGTGAATTCAAAAGAAAATTAAAGATTTTGTTACTGCCTTGCCGGAATAATGATCAATTTTTTTTTGTATTTACTGGATGTAGTGCTTTTATTTTTATTGTTTAATTCCTTTTTGATTTAGAGTTTATATGTTTTTAGGTTTTTTTTTCTCTTAATTGATGTATACATGTAAAGACATATCCTTTTAATTAGTATCTTGATTGTAACAATGTTTTGTATTGTGTATCTATTTAAATTTTTTAATTCGGATTACAGCCCGTCACAAATCATCTACTAAGCATCCTCTCCCAAGAAATGCCACAAAGCGCAGTCCTGAGCCACCTGCAGGTATATAGGTGTGACATGAACCTAACACAAGATCTTTGTCTTGTCCATATTCATTTTAAGACCAATGCCTTGGAAGAAACTATTGAGGTCATTGAGCATAGTGCTGAAGTCCTCCAGCCATTCCGCCATAATGACTATATCGTCTGCAAATCGAATGTGTTGGTACTGCCACAAATTTTTAATACCGCATTTTTTCAGTAGCTAAAATTGTCTTCCAATGCTGCGGGGAAGAGTTTCGAGGATGTAACGTGACCTTGTCTTATACCTATCTGCAATTGGATAGGTTTCGTACACTGGTTCTGTACTTGGATAGCCATCGTACCCGTTAGGCCTCAGTCGTAGTACTTAGACTTCAGCACTTTAGATCGTCAGTCGACTTAGTACCACTGAAGGGACTGTAACACCGCCAATATTTCGACGGAATCAAAATCTTTTCCATGTTTCACATAGGTAAGACAAAGTGGTATATTGCAGACTAATGATTTGCCGAAGAGTACGTATGTGGTCTACGATGCTAAAGCCTTTTCGGAAACCAGCTTGTTCAAGAGACTAGAAGTCATCAAGGCGCGTGCAAGACATTCGTAATGACAAGACAAATAGCACGTAGACGCAGCTTAAATGGGAAATCGGTCTGTAGTTCTTCAATAGAGCGTTGTCGTCGTTCTTGAAGAAAATACCACCGCACTGCTGTTTCACGACGACGAAGTAGTATCACCATGGACAACAGAATCAAAATGCTTTTGGAGGACTTCAAGTACCTACTTTACACCCGCTTTCAGAATTTCTTCTGTTATCCCATCCTCGTCCGGGGCCTTTTCGTTTTTAAGGTGATGTAAATTTATTCCAATTATAATCTCACATCTGGGATATCATCTGAATAGTGTTGGATAGTGACAATAATTACTTGCTCTTGGATTTTTACTCCAACGATGACGTGTACAGCTGCCCGTAAAACCTCTTATTCTCACCCAAAATCGTCGAAAAATTGTTACAACACTTGACTCATTCCGGCAGACAGATCTCTTGTAGACCTTGGAGCCGTAGTTCCACCCGATCGCCTCTTTAATACGTGCTGTATTGAAAATGCGTTAGTCTCACCGCATGCATTTTTTTTTGGAGATCTGTCTGTTCAGTTGCCTGTATGCTGGCATATTTGTTGATGTACAGTGTTCCGAAAAGGCTTCAGTATCTTAGCCCACATGCATACCCTGCAACATATTGTACAGAAGAACGAAGAGTACAATCAGCCACTTTGCCTGACGTATGTGGACTATGAAAAAGCCTTTGATGCCGTCGAAATTTGGGCGGTGCCACAGTCCCTTCAGTGGTGCTAAGTCGACTGACGATGTTGTTAATTGCTAAAAAATTGTACTACGGCTGAAGACTAATGGCTACGATGGCTATCCGAGAATAGAACCAGAGTACGAAACCTATCTAACTGCAGAGAGGTGTAAAACAGGGTTATGTTAAATCCCCAAAACACTTCAACGCTGCATTGGAAGACGTATCCAAGCTACTGGCCTGGAAAGTATACGGTATTAACATCAATGGCGGGAACATCACTCACCTTCGATTTGCCGACGATATAGTCCTTATGGCAGAATCCCTGAAGAACCTAAGCCCTACGCCCAATGACCTCAATGATGTCTCCCAACGGATATGTCTTAATATGAACATGGACAAAACAAAGATCATGTTTAATGCCATGTCACACCTATGACGGTAGTTTTTGGGAGCACTAAGCTCGAAGTTGTTGAAGAGTACGATTACCTGGGACAAATAGTCCGACCAGGTAAGTCCAAATTCGACCGAGGTCAATCGACGGATTCAACTCGGCGTGGCAGCATTCGGGAAACTAGGACACATCTACGTCAGGTATAACTCAAAATCTGAAAACTAGAGTGTACAACCAGTGCGTGTTTGCCAGTGATGACTTATGGATCTGAGGCGTGGTCCTTGACTGCTGGCCGTATGAGGACACTTAAGATCGCTCAGCGAGCTATGGCGAGGGCTATGCCCGGGGTTTCTCTGCGTGATAAACTTAGAAATGAGGATATCTGCAGTAGAACCAGAATGACCGTCATAGCCCAACGGGTTAGTAAGCAGGAGTGGCAATGGGCCGGCCATATAAAAAAGGTTCTCGAGTGTCAGCCTCGTACCGGTAGGCGTAGTGTAGGGCGACCCTCCACTAGATGGAGTGCCGATCTGGTAAGACATGCAGGAAGTCGATGGATGCAGGTGGTTCAGGACCGTGATTTGTGACGTTTCTTGGGGGAGGCCTATGTTTTGTAATGGTGATGATGATGACAGTGTTACCGTCATTTCCCGTCTAATAGTCATGATTTCTTGTAGAACTTGTCTAGCTTCGTTACTTCGCACTTCCAACACAGCTATTTCATTTCAGCATCTTGAATAGTTTTAATCTATTAAGTTGTTATTTGCCAAGGGCAAGATAAGCGATGATATAAGTTGCATTCCAAATTTTATAAATACCTATTGACATGGAATTTCTTACTGCAGATGTGAACGTTTTTCTTCGTATTGTTATTAACTATGTTTTTAGCTTCAGTGGTTTAAATAATTATTGGACCGCAGCGAGCGAAGCGAGCGGAGCTTCCATGGCGCAAGAAAACGATCTATCTCCTCCGTAACCCGTAGGCCAATTTACATAATTTTTTCCGTCTTTAAAATTTCAGAGTGCGGAAGATAGCTTACATTAAAAAGAACATAAGAATCATAACGTTAGGAAGAAATCGGTATTCTTTTTAAAATGAATTCAAATTTTAAAAATTTATTTAAATAGTAACAAAATGTTCAGTTTATAGAAACAGACGTTTTGACTGTGTTGATATTACGATTTTTCTTGCGTCTGCAACATAAAGCAAGTTAGATTTTTAGCTGATTTAATTTTGTAATGACTCATAATAAAGTAAATTATGTTTCTTCTGTGCTACCAATCGAAAACATATTGACGAATCCATAAAAATAGAAATATGTAGTATATATATTGGATTGGTTTTTTTTTGGTTATTATATGCAAGTTCTCGATTACAATTCCACCTGATGGTATATGGTGATGATGTTCTAAACGGTAAATAGTTTTAGCGTTACAAAAACCAACATATATTTAGATTATATTGCGGCACGCAATAAAAATTCTGTAAGAGTCAAGGTATTATAAGGCATAATATTTTTCTATTTAGAAGGACAGTGATTTAGTACGGAACTTCTATTTATATTATATTAAAACAAAACCTAATTGATTATGTGAAAATGCCTGTCTATCAATGAAACAATTTTTTAAATCGAATCAGTGATTCCATAAAAATTATGTCTTACAAACTGACGAACTCACCTTACCACAGCATATAATTTAACAAAATTGACCCGAAATCTACATTTTATGCATCAACGTGAAAAATATTCAGGAAGGTCGTTCAGAACCTTGATAAACTACATGACTGCTCTATGACAGCGAAAGACTCTCACATATCGAGTGTATTTTGTAAAGGATCTAGAACTCTACATATTATTAGCAATTAAAGCGACGTATCCCTTAGGAAAAATTTTCTTGTCGAGTTTGTGACTTCGTTGCATACGATTACACGCAGAGAAATTAACCTTTAGGTGGTCATCTCAACTTTCATGGCAATTTCGAAGAATGTGCCAAAAAAAAAGATTTAAACTACCCTGACTGGACATTACTTATCTTGTCACATGTAATTTTATCAGCAATGGCGCACTACCTTAACTTAAATAACCACAACATAATGTTTACTTCTGATTACATGTCTATTATTGCAAAAGATATACTTAAATACATCATACTAGAAACAAATAACTGTTAACTGTAAATAATGTGTATTTAATTTTAAATTCTTAATAGAAAATTATCCTTAAAAGGCAAAGTCACTGTACATATAGGTGGATTATATTTATTATGTATGCACGGAGCGAGAGCCATGTCTCGTTTTATGGTTGATATATTGACTTTTAACTTTTGTTTACGGTGCCAGATAATCTTGTCCTGCTTACGAAATCTTCAGACGCGGCAATTAAATGTTCACCTGAATAACGTTAAACTTAGCTACTTAAAAGCGTTGAAGTGTTACTTGTGTACTTTATTTATAAGTTTATGCTTAATTGTTAAACATATTTTATTACAACGATTTGCCGACGGTTACGGCTATATTGAGAACTTGTACTTAGTGCGATTATAATAAAACGTTTAACGATGAACCTTATCGAAGGTTTTCATTAGTTTTCGTTTATCTTACTAATACGAAATAATTGCGAGTACATGTTTAATACCTTAGTTAAAAATTAATTGCATTTATGCATGACTCGGCGTGATACGAACTAAACGTAACGTTATTTTTAAAATTATTGATACTTAACTTGAAATAAATTATTATGTGAATCATCAATCATATAAATTGATAATATAAATTTGCGTGATATTCCGTTATGTTATATAAAAAAGTAGAAATAGTAGTAGATAGAATTGTAAAGACAAGGTGTCACTTACATCGTGCGTTCTATCATCGACTATGGCGTTATGCGGCAAGTTGGCGGTCATTAGGAGTGCGTGAATGTCTTCTGTCCTGAAGCTTTCCATGTCAGCCTCGGCGAGGTTGGCGTCGAGGTCGCGGGCGATGTCGTTGTACCGGGAGGTAAACTCAAAACGAGAGGTCAACTCGCTTATGCCCTTGTACGAGGCCGACACCGAAGAAAGTACGGACGTGTGGTGGCAGGAACTGTCTCGATATATTGGACTGTAAAAGAAAGAAATATGTTTTGTGTCACGTTACATGTACTTTTTATCAAAGTATGACCTATTTTTAGTAAAGCAAAAAAAGTTTAGTAATGTATTTCAATAATGTTGTTTAAATATATTTGTTTAAAATACTTATTATATACTGTTGCCTGCGAATGTCCTCATTACAAGATCATATTTGTGGCATTCTTTGCGGAAGGCATATTTTTTCAGCAATGGACTTGCGATGGGCTGTAATGCTGGTGATGACTGTTGACTACTTTCATTTATACATGATAAGCCAAAAGGTTATGGATTGATTTTAAATTGATTTTATAATCCACTATTAATTACTTTTCTATTGTTTCTATGATCTGTGCTGGTGAACATAAGTAACTAATTGACGGAATATTTTCTTTTTACGTGTAGTGACTGCTGCCAATAGATGGCGGATAGCTTATACAAAATGTACCCACAGTGTTGATCGAACCACACTGGCAACGCGAAGCAGGGTTAGAATGCGTCACATCACATATTGTACTGCGATTGCAATTAGGTCTGTCAATCATGGCGATTATATCAAAACCTTCTTACAATGGGAGAGGCCTATGCATCGACGTTAGCGGGTTGGTAAAGCAGAAGATTTTCTTATATAAGGTAAGTATACGTAAATTATCCAAAAGTTATGGCAAATTAAAAGATTTTTCTGCGAAAAACATTGACAAATACATTAAATAAATTCGAATATAATTCTCGCAGTCTTGACCGAGCTCATTTCCGTAATGTTGACGCATTTGTAAACAGACATATTTTGTTCCATATTTATTGTAACACATAAAATGCAGTTATAAATGCTGAAAATGGCTGCATCTAACGATACCGTTTCTAGTATTTCCTGGTGGGATTACTATCGAGAGCCAGTTTAGATAGTGGACAGCACAGGCCGCCCTCGAGCCACTGACGTCTAAAAATGATCTGGGCCGGTGATATTTGATATACTGAGGTTATTGCCACATTATCTCCTTCATTTTTAGTTTTGATTTTGATTTGTATATTGAATTAAAAACTAAAAAATTAAAAATATATTATATTATATTATTACCCAAAAAGCTTTCCAATTTAGTACGCATATAAAATGATTAGGAAACGAAAAATTTACTTCACTTATGCATTATAAATTCTGTGTAAGAATATCCGCTACCCCTGATGTTTTCGTTGGTGTCGTAAGAGGTGACAGAGAGAAATAAACCAGGTGATATGCAGCAGCCTGGTAAGACATGCAGGAAGTGGATGGATGCAGGTGGCTCAGGACCTTCACAAGTCCAAGCCTCCCCCAAGGAATACATTGTTCGTTTACGCATATCATAATAGTCAATTTCTCGTTGGTACAACTGTATTTAGAAATTCATTTGTGTTATATTTAGGATTTTACAACCCCAATATAAGTTATTATTATTAGTCATCCAATCTGCAACAACAGAATTCATACTAATGTTACTTTGATTTTAATTACGCATATAGCTGAAACATTTATTATTATACATTGCAAAATGTATTTTTTTATAGAATATGGATGATAAACGAGCACACAGTTCACCTGATGGTACGTGGATGCTATGGCCCATAGATATCTACATTTATCCTCGACTAAGAATCGAAATGGTACATTTAAATGGGTAGTTAATTCTTTACATTCTTATATTCATTTTTTATTTATCTAAATAAATAGAAATTTCAAGTACCACGAATGCTGTTTTGAAATCTTCCTAATATTTAATTGTATTTTTTCTAAAATCCGTCAAACTACATATTTAAAAATATGTATTATGCATATTAACAGACAATATTATGCAGTATAATGTAGCAGGATTAATTGTGATAACGATGCGTGAAATGTGTTGTTACCATTTTCATTAAATTCTTTCTCTTATTTTCTCTTCTGTCCTCGCTTTATCTCGAGTCACGCACGCTAATATTGTATTGTAACATAACAAATAAATGTAAATAACAAACAAACGATTTGTGAAATAAGAATAGAAGGGGAGTTGATCGAGCAAGTAGATGAGTTTGTATATTTGGGCTGCGTATTTAGCAGTGATGGGAGATATGATAAGGTATAGAACGACGAGTGAATGCGGGAAATAGAGTAAATGGGGCCCTGCACTCTATTGTGAAGAGTCAAAATGTGTCGAAAAAGGCACGTATGGCAATTCACAATGCTGTGTTGGTCCCTACTTTAACGTATGGTAGTGAAAGTTGGGTGTGGCAGAAGAAGCACGAGAGTAGAATCAACGCAGTAGAAATGCGGTCGTTAAGGAGTATGTTAGGGCTGAATCTGAAAGACAGGGTAAGAAATTGTGTAATAAGAAGAGTGTGGTTTGCAAGATGATGTTGTGACCAGGATTAAGAAAGGAATGCTTCGGTGGTTTGGTCATGTGGAAAGAATGAATGAGGAAAGAGTGACAAAGAAAATTTATGTTGCAGAAGTGAATGGCAGAGTCGGAAAGGGACGTCCTAGGCGAAAATTTATCGACCAAATTGGCGATTTATTGAAAACGGGCCAAATTAGGAGTACCTTTAACCAACGAGCATGTATGCGTAGTTGTATGGATGTGAAGGAGGCGAGAGAGGTGTGTCAGGATCGTGCCAAATGGAAGTCTGTATAGTCTCTGCCTACCCCTCTGGGTGACAGGCGTAAGTGTTTAAGTATGTATGCAAATAAATGTACGATAATACTAAGCGACCACTATCATATATTTCCAAATAAATATTTTCTGATGTGTGTCGTTTACATTACGATTACAAAGGTACATTAGGTCATTTCTACAGCATAAATAATTAATCAAGGATGGATGTCAATCTATGGAAATAAATTAATACAATTAAGGACATAAATGCAAACTGCTCCCGGGTTTCAAGTAATATGTATTCGTGACATCGGATAACTTTTTTTATTTAGGATAAGGGTGACAAACGAGCACGCAGTTCACCCGATGGTGAGTGATTACTGTGGCCCATAGACACCTACATCTATCCTCGAATACGAATTTAAATGCAGATACATTGTCACCCGTGACGATTAAGATGGAACGCCTCGTTTCCAGTAAAGAGGGTATCCGGTTCTCTACACTCACCATACGATATACAGCAGTGTTAAGCTGCTATTTTACACTGGAATTCTGTGAGAGCGTGGTCCTTCCCCGGTCGACCTGACCCATACGTGCTACATCAATACTACTTATGGTCTGAATTGCTTCAAGAAAGGTCTGGTACGGCCGTGCCGCTTTTTCGCTCGACTTGTATAGCTACAGCATGGCTTTACCGCGTATTAAAATCGTACCGAAGAAGACTCAACTAATCTTGTACCATTAATATATATTATGTACATTATACTCACTTGTAATCGAGGAACCATAGGTATCCGGAATTATCACAGTGCGCGTCAAGTTCATCGTGCGCAGAGTGCTGACTACCGGCGAGGCTCGTGTTGCTGTTGCAGTCCTCATCCACGCCCACCGCCGCGGGGCTCGCCGCCTTCAAGCCCAGCCGTGGCGGTGGCCCTGAAATACGATCATTTGCGGTTTAGTGTGAGGGAACATGCTCCTGTTACAGATTGGGTAATATTGATGGAATAATAGTAATATCTTCCTATTGTAATTTCCAAGAGGTACCTATGAAGAGGCAGGTAGCTATAAAATTTCGTAAGCAGGTGCCGCGCGCAAATCGAATGCGATCCACGGCGGTATCACTGAAACACACAAGTACATACCTACATGAAAGGCGGTATATTTAATGTTAAATGATGATGATGAATATCAAATAGACGACGACAACGCTTTAATTACTCAAGTTAGAAGTGAAAAAGTAAATTGCGCGATGTTTTCATAATATTTCGAAATAGTCGAGTTGGTAAATTAAAAGTTGTGATTGAAACAACTTTTTAATAAATAAACCAGAACAGTTGGAACATTTTTCAAACTATTATTACCATTATTACAGCTCATTACAAGTCCAATGCTGAACTAGGCGCTTCCTCAAGGAATGTCACAAAGCACGGTCCTGTACTTTGCAACTATTGACTTCCTACATCTCTAACCAGGTCGTCACTCCATCTAGCGGGGTGCCGCCCTACACTTCACTTAAAAAAATATGAACATCTATGATTTCCCTTCCCTAAAACTATTATACTTAAATTTAAGTATTAAATACTTTAGGTCGTTGGTAATAGCTTATTATTAAACTACGAACTGTAGATGTTCATTTTGTCAAGACTTACATTAATTCTGAAAAAGACCTTGAAAATTTTCAACACAAAAACAACTAAAACAGTCACGCATGAGGAGACACTGCATACTTCCTGTAAGATCGAATTATACACGTATAATCATGTTTTTTATGATTACAATGAACGTTATAATGTTAATTTTGAATTTATATGTTTTTTGACCGCGACTAGAATAATGAAATAAATGTAATGCGTGTTTTGTAGACTTGCATTGAGAAGATAATCAAGAAATTATTGCATTACAATAAATATAATTTATTCATAATTCAGGTAAATTATACCTATTTTGTTAGTACATTTAAATTAGAAGCTAGCGAGTTAACATAGATTGTTATTAAACATACTGGACTTGGAACCCATATGCACTGTGCTCCAGGACCTCTCACCGCAGGACAATTTTGCCTTCAATAATGGAAACTAGGAGGCTGTTGTATACTGTCTCGCACGAGGCTCATTAAAGAAGCTATTCTTTTGCTTAATATTACTTCAAAGCTGTCCACGCGTGCCTCGTCAAAGATACCCGACGCGCTGCAAAAGCGTGGCAGCCTTTACAACGACCTTAATACATTGTTGTACTGAATGCGTACTGAGAGATCGGCGAGTACACTTTGTCCACAAGCTTACATTTTACACCGTTACAGCCACAGAAATATAAATAATAAGGCAATTTAGATTTCTGTGGTTACAGCTTTGTATAATGTTATCTAATCAAACCTGCGGGAAAGCATATTCACCTAAATCATCCGAGAGATCCTCCTACACAAGTGCAAGTTTTTGCTACACTTTTATTATAAAGGTGTTGGAGTTCTAAATACTGTCATATAGCTCCATCAGGAATATTATTGCTGCATAATATAATTAGTGCTGAATTTAATACGAGTATTGCCAGAAATATCAAGTCCACTATATCCTTGAATACAGTGGGCACTCAGTTTCTACTACAAGTGGTCTCCTAGAAAACCTTTTGCAGTAAAAACGTGCTTGCAGTAAGTAAAAAATGCAGATAATAGGAAAATGAACAGATTGATAAATACCAGATTGGTTGGGAAATGTGCACGATTACCTTACGGGGGCGGTTTCGTGCTAAGTTATTCAGCCTCCATGAGACTTATAAACAGACTTGCGATATTGTAATGTGGTGGATAAATGTATGTGTAATGAAATATATAATTCGGACTTGAAAAAATGGGTATTTCATTTAGAGTTCGGAACAGGTTAAGATGGGACTTAGTAAAGTGTTCTTGAATTAAGCCGTGGAAGATCCAAGTTAGTCGAATTCAGATGTGCTGTTAATATTCTAGAATGTAAACTTTACATTGTAAAGGTAATTACAATTATTAGTTCTAACACGTAATTGCAGTCTTTTTAGAAATGATTCTACGCACACTTACAACTAGGTAAATGTTTCGAATAAGTTTTTAAGACGTTCATTCGACTGGCTGTTTCTCAGTTTTCCTTACAACAGCTCTTTGGATTCCCATCAACATTCCCTACAAGGCGAGTGGTCCGCCGCGTTCACCCACGCCCCGCCGTGTATAGGCCAAACAACATTTCGCCTCCAAGTATCATTATGTTAATATTTCACTCATGATATTTATAGCCTCTTCGTAACTTATTTTCTAGTGGGCGCTTGCCAACTACTGGCTACATAAATACTTGTATTCTATATAATTAATTTATAAACAACATAATAGTCCAATCTATTAAAATTTCTTATAATAAAGATATATTATTACGATCAACAGTCACTATTAAGAATTTGAAAGTGAAGTGCCATCCGTACATTTTTTATTGCCTTTGGTTTAATTGGAAGAAATTGTTTTTTGTAATAAATAATAATATATGTCAAATAACTTATCACGTTATATATATGGGTATTTTATAACAAGCGACAGTAGCCTAGTGGCAGGGCGTGGAACAAAAGGTCGCGGGTTCGAATCCACCATCCGACTACTGTCGTGAACCACTCCTAACACAAGCATTTTCAGCTTACCAGGAGTGGTTAAAGGGAATATTAGTAACGTTAATTAATAGGATTACTAATATTTTTTCAAAAAAAATATTATGTAGTTATTTACTTGACGAAATCTACCGTTGAAAACATAATTTTTTTATAGAAATAGGATTGTAAACGAGCACACAGTCCACCTGATGGTAAGTTGATGCTATGACTCATAGAAAACTACATCTATCCTCAATTATTAAGAATCAAAATGCAGATGTGAAAACAGTAGTATTAAGCTACTATTTTACGCTGGTATTCAGTGAGAGCGTGAGCGACCCATTCGTGATACTACTGTAATATAGCTGCAGCATGAGTCTATTACAGGTGAACATCTCCTTGTCTGTCTGGTCGATTGTATATTTGGAGGCTATTACTCTACATGATAATCAGTCTGTATCACAGATCGGTATACGAGTATAGTATATATATATATATTTTTTACTTTTGCGAATTGACCTGCGTAATGCACGCAATGCTTCTTATTCAAAATACAATCTCAAACCATATAAATCTAAGGAATATTTTATATTTTCGTTAATAACTCATAATTATAACTTCCGCAAAGATTATTAAATTATAATTTCGCCTACATGTCCACAATTCAGCGCTCGATCATCCTTTTAAATTATTTCTTTGTTTTTACTGATTGATATATTTAAATGTTTATTTTTAGTTTGGTTTATTAAATTACCTAATTTGCTTTTGTTATTAACAATAATTGCATCTTACATATTTATACGTATACATTACTAAAATCATAACAAAAACAAAATCATTACCCATCACTAATCACCTAATGACAATAACCTTATGATTAAATCAATAAGGGTTACCTTTTTAATTTTATAAATACAAGTTTTGAAAGGTTTTATATTAAAAAGAAAAAATAACCAATTTCGAAACTTAATCCGAAAGCCTGATTTCACTGTTATATTACGAGTATACTACATCAGTTTGTCGAAACCGAGACGCAGTCATGCTCTGTGGAAGGTTGTTTTTTCCGGTATTTGTCGCTAACATACCATTGTTAAGCCAAATCTATTTTTTTTTGCTTCTGACGTTATACAGATCATAGATAAGGACCTACACGTGGCTAAAAATATATTAATATGTTAAAATGTAGTGCTCAGCATGAAAATACCCCCGTAAGTACGTAGTACTATTATTTATTCTGTGCCGTAAGGCACAGGTTGAGTTTTGTAGAGTCTCATGCACACTTCCCAATCAATCTGGATTTTTTAATCCCATCATAATATGTCATTTAACATTAGTTTATTTTCTGCATTATTTACTTACTGTCAGCACGTTTTTTCTGCAAAAGGTTTTGGAAAAGACTTCACATCTTATTTTCTCCATTCAAGTATCTATGCAGCCTTCGGCGTGCACGAAAAACACACGCTTTTATAATATTACACATATTACATTATAATATTACATATATACATACATATAATATTACATATATAATATCACAATATAACATATACAGTACGTAAGTCGCACGTGACGCCACGCTGCACGCCGCTAAGAACGCCATACACGTAGGCCTTTGACCGCGCTTAAATTTACTACATTAACAATCAAGATCGAACAACTTATATCTTTAAAATTTATTCCTATTTGAAATTTAACGAACTCGTCCTCAAGTTTAAAGCGACATTCAAAATCATAAAACCTTATCGCGTGAAAATGTTCCCAAAGGGACTTGGATTAACAAACATAATTTTTTGAGTAGCCTGGTAGATAAATACTAGCAAAAAATACGTTCACGCCAATGAAATCTTTATAGAATAAGAGTGCCAAACGAGAACAGTCTACTTGATGGTAAGTGGATGCTGTGACCCATTGACACCTTCAATGTCCACAATGAAGTATCAAAATTCAAAATGTAGATGTATTGACACCTCTGAGTAATTAGATAGAATGTCTCAACATTTATCATACGAGTTGTGTTTATATTCATGTTGCAACTATAAAATAGTTGCAGCGTGGGTCTACCACGTTGAGAAAATATTTATATTTGGTTTGGACGAACCAAACAATATAAAACTATAAATGTAAATATAAACAACATTAAGGCATTTGAAGTAGTAGCTATACATGTTCTATTGATACAACAAATCATTTCTAAGGGTCAATAATCGTCGCAGACGCCAAGGTGAGTTGCACAGTATATTATACATACACCTCTTTGTGAGGCCGGTTAGCATACAGAATGACGCAAGTAGCGCGTTAGATCTGACTCATCTGTGATACACAATACTACTGTG